TTTACAAATTGTTTTGTGCTTCCATTTCGTAGTCTTCAATTACAATTACATTGTATATATTCTCATATTTTCAATCAAATATTAAATACATTAATATCATTGCTAATCAATCATTTGACTATACTTTTATTCATTCATGTTTTACAAAATAATCCATATTTTACTTAATTTGTTTTATGACAGTTCATATTATCATCTCAAATCTATCCTACAATCATTTTGTAGATATAATAATAAAAGAATACATCTTTATATTTTCTAAGAATCTACATATTTCATTACGTTTTATTGTCTAACCATTGATAGAATAGATCCCAAATTTTATAAAATTGTTTATCATCTTGTTCTCTGATTTCAAATGTCAATCTACTTATTTCAGCACATTCCAATATTTTCTTAATAATTTCCTCCTGTAATGGTATTTTCTCATTTTTTCTCATTTTTCCAGTTTTTGGCAAATACAATCCTAGCCGCTGTTAATACATTTACAATCAGGTATTTCAATTCTTTACTATATATTTCAATTCTTTACTATATATTTCAGGTAAAATTCCCAATAAAAATATCTCTGGTTTCAAGTCTATATGCTTTTTTATCATTTTTTCCAACCACGTGTGGATGGCCTTAAGTGATTATTGATTGTTGACATAACTGATATTTCTGCTGCCACTAACAGATCTTTCCTTACGTCCGTGATTAACATTAGCCATCACTATTAGTTTGAGAAATATACTAGAATGGCATTCTCACCGAAAGGCACTGGAGAAGAACAGCTGTGTTTCCTGTAGTGAAACTGTGGCCTCCAAGTGCCTGGTGCAATCCATGATATCTTCACAATCAATCCAGAAGTTTAACAGGTGGCTTCCTAATGTGTTATGGAGGAATTCCATAAAGTCCTCCATGCCAGCTCTCTGCATTGTAAAAAATAGAGGAAGGGATAAAAAAACCCCAATGTGAATGGAAGTACCTGAAGAAAGGAAATCTCAACAACTGCTACAGTACGTAACTGAAGATAGGCAGAATAGCTTAAACATGCTTTTAAAAACCTCTTGCGGTGCTGTTATTTATTTATTTTTATCCTACCTTTTATTAGTTTTTATAAATAACTCAAGGTGGCAAAAATATGTAATACTGTTTCCTCCTCCTATTTTCCACAGAACAACAACTTCATGAGGTGGATTGGACCAAGAATGCTTTAAAAACTGAGTATTAAAGACGTATTCATATGGATACATCAACTTTCAAGGCCTAGGAGGTTGGAGTTAATCCAGAGCAATTGCCTGTTGTTAGGAAAGATGTGTGCCACAATAAAGCATTGTATACAGTTATCTGCTACAAGGTGTTATGTCCACTCCCTGGAAAGTAAAGAACTCTCAAAAGCACAGAAAACATTTAAAGTAAAAGTCTATTCAGTTAAGTGTTTCAGCAGAAAACAATATTACCCACAGTTCCTAGGACGTCTTCTTTAAGTTGCTGCAAAGCAGCACTTCCAGAACCAGAAGGAAAACACTGTTGCTCTTCTTTTGAAATACTTGTTTCTGTCAGGTCAAATTGCAAAACCTGCCGGCGTCCTGAGGGTGGCTTCTTATAATTACTAGAGGAAAATATGAATCAGGAAGGCAAAAATACATAACTGACAGGGATAACCTTTTTTTTGCAGATTATAATTATGACCTATCACTGTTTCTATGGACCAGCAGCACGACGTCATGATTCAACTCTGGCGCAATGGAGTGGCTAAGGTTCTTTGCCCCCCTCCCCCACTCAGGACCAAATTATTATTGTTTTTTTCTCTTTGGTGGCACTTCCCTGAACAATTTGAGCATGCTCCTGGATTCATAGCTTCTGCTCTAGGAGCAGGTAACAGCCATAGCTTAGGGGGTCCTTTGCTCAGATTCATCTGGTGCACCAGTTGTACCCTTTGATGGATTGGGAGGGCATGCTCACAGTCACTCAGGCCTTGGTCATCTCCCTTGGATGACTGCAACATGCTCTATCTGGGGCTGCCTTCGAAGACCATCTGGAAATTTCAACGGTTCCAGAATGTGGGAGTGAGTGCACACATAGTAATGGCAACACCTCATGTAACGCTGCTGTTGCCGGAGCTGCATGGGCTTCCAGTTAATTTCTGGGTGTAGTCCAAAGTACTGGTCATGATTTTAAAAAGCTCTATATGGCTCAGAGTCAGGCCACTTGTGGGGCAACCTTTCCCTAAGGACATCTACCTGTCCTACCAGGGAAGATAGGATGGGCACACTCCTAGTTCCCTCTTCCAAATATTTTCATCTAATGAGGGCTAGGAAGTGTGCCTTTTCCGTGACAGCCTCTGCCCAATGGAACATCCTGCCCCCTGAAGTTCATCACTCCTCCACTTTTTTATCCTTTGGTAAAGCCTTACGGACTTCCCCCAAGAGTTGGTACATTAGACAATGATACGTTTGCATGGATTGGTGCCAGGTGTTTGTTTTTATTGTTTTATAATGTTTTATGTTTTAATTATGTTTTATGGTTTTTAAAATGATTTTATTGGGAGCCATCCAATCTTGTCTCAAAGATGGGTAGCTATGTTTTCCAACATGGGCAATTAATAAATGAGATAGATAGACAGATAGACAGACAGACAGACAGACAGATAGATAGATAGATCTGGAGATAGAGATAGATAGATAGATAGATAGATAGATAGATAGATAGATAGATAGA